GAGAGAGAGAGAGAGAGAGAGAGAGAGAGAGAGAGAGAGAGAGAGAGAGAGAGAGAGAGAGAGAGAGACCATGCTGTATGTACAACCAATCGACGGGCTAACATCACGTCACCCGGCACGTCGATTGGATGAACAGTCAGTTTGGGTCAACACACACACACACACACACACACACACACGCACACACACGCACACACACGTGGGAGATCGGGACGCGTCGGCCGCGATGGCAAACGTTGTTGCCCGTCCTTCGACCACGGCGCGAACGACCACCGTCCGTTCCACGAAACCGGTCGCCGCCGAACCGACACGCCGGTCGCACAACAAAAAATGGTATACCAAAAAAAAAAAGAAAAACAGAAATAAAATTCAGGCCACGAAACATACCACCAGCCACAGGGACCCCGCCCAAACTTGTGTCCGTCGGGTGGACCGTACCGGTCCAGTCCAGGCCACATGTGGAAACGTTACCGTTTCCGAAAACGAAAAAAAAAACAAATCGGCCTACGAGGTACCGCGGGACATGGCCTCGGAAAAAGACAGCGCGCAGCAAAAATCAGGGTCGGCAAAAACAGGCTGGGAGGTACTGGTGGTTTAAAAGAGCACATTCAATTAAATTCCAAAACACATTTGCATATGAGGCCGGGGACCCCACAATTCAACCCGGAGTTATCCCGGCAGCCGGTTTAGCTTCTGTGTTCCTCAGCTTAATCTATGCCTACAACAGACACCCCTTATCTACCCTATGTATATAACCAATTCTTCAGCCAATTATCCAAGACTTACGGACCTAAGAAGCTAATCCTTGGTAGTTAGCCTCTTTAATGGACTACGGGGAGGATGGGCTGGGTGAGACGGGAAGGTAACCCTATGCAGAGGGAATCTAACAGGTGGGTGAGGTTCTTATCTACCCAGGTTGCTATTTAAACGTGTGCATACACAGGCCTACAATGGCCTGAAACCGACCTATTGCGATCGGTTGGACCATGCTGGTCCTTTAATTTTCTGGTTTTTGCAAAAGCAATAAAACAAAGGGGAGGTGGTGGCAACGTCAACGTCGACCGTCTAGAAATTCAGAGTCGAGCTCTGCACTCAGTCTAACGTTCATAGCATAATGTGCTCACTTGGGATGAATCTGATCTTCTGCACAGTTCAAATTCATGCTATCGCCGCAGCAAGTTGCGTTCGTGGGGCCTGACCCTTGGGGGCATCCTCCACCCAACCAGTGGTCCACGATGCGGGGCGGCAGAGTACCCGCAAGGCTGTCGCACGCAGGTCGCACATATGCACATCACATGCATATGTGGATATGCTTGTGGGTATCGGTGTGTGTAGTCTACATGTGGGCTGTATGTGTAGATATATACGTACACAGACACACACACACACACACACACACACACACACACACACACAGCGAGAGAGAGAGAGAGAGAGGTCTTCCCCGTCGGGATCTAAGGTCCTCGGTCGGTGCAGCAGCGAGCAGGTCAGAGGACAGATTGTTGGAAGGTAAAGGTGTGTAGAGGGGGGAGAGTGGGGAGGGAAAAGCGCATAGAGGGGTGGTGGTTTTCAGCGTGAGCGCTGAGCCGCCAGCCAGGGGAAGAGGAGAGATTGCCATAGCGGCGTGCGTAACGGTCATCGCCCATCTTCTTCTTCTCTCGCCATCGCTACAGTTTGCGAGAAATCGTCGTCGACGCGCAGGCTAGCGCCATAGCCGTCGCGCTTCCGTACATCGTAGGGAGCTACTTGGGCGCAAGCACGCGCACGGGCGCTCAGAGGCGCGCACGAGAGAGAGAAAGAGAGAGAGAGGGAGAGAGAGGTAGAGAGAGGAGGTTTGTGAAGGTGACTGGCTGGAAACCAAGTGGCGTGTATATCAGCCGCCATGCAGGCCACTGCAGCTGCCGGGGCCTTTGCCCAGCGGCTTGCTGTTGGGAAGGGATTCAAACCGCTGACGTGTGCGTCGGGATCGCAGAGGCCAACGACGACATGCAGAGGAGGTGTGCCCCGTCCCCTCCGTTCTTCCCTCTGTGCCTCTACCTTGCTTGGCTTGCTTGGATTGCCGCCTCGCTTGGTGGCTGCGAGATAATGCTCCCCCACTTCTTCTTCCTCATCTCCGGAATTGTCAATAGTCGAGGTCCTCTCACCCATCACCATCGGTCTGTTTTCCTTCTCTCTCTCTCTCTCTCTCTCTCTCTCTCTCTCTGGTAGCCGCGCCCATCGCACTTCTCCAAGTCATTCTGCTTCACGTCAAATGTGCTGGTTTGCTAACTGTACACGTATGCTGTATGTTGTTTACACGCGGGTGAATGTCCAATGGCCACAGTCCATTCGTGCCTCCACCTCCTCCTCCAGGGAAGGCGAACATTAGTTTGTGACCCGTTACTAAGAACGCAGTAGAAAATCGGCCCTCGGCAGCAATCAACAGAGAATGACTGGGCACGCTTAGCTTGATGGTGATTTCCCCCCCCCCCCTCACCGTCAGCGAATCTCTTCATCGACAGCTTTCGGCAAAAGGGGGGACAGCGACAAGAGTTCTCCGCATATTGACGTACGAGTATGACAATTGCCGTTAAATAACAGCCTTCGAAAAGGGGGAAAAAAAAGAAGGAAAAGAAATGAATGGGAAAACACGCGTGCCGAGGTTGGAGCAATGGCAAAGGGAAAAACATCGCCGCACCAATGTGAACGCGAATGCGTCCAGGTTAACTATTCACTTCATCAACTTGAATGCATGGCAACGTCTTTTTTCATCCAGATTCAGTCTGCAACGCTATCCGTATATATCCCGTACTGATATCGACGTTTTCATTTTTCCTTTTTTCCTAACAGTAAATATCACAATTCTTATACTCGTCCGTCGGGATATCCGTCAAAATTGGAACCATACAGGAACCATACAGAGAATATACAGAGAATATACAGAGAATATATATATATATATATATATCGTCACAAACAGAACTGCCCGGTAAAACCGTAGGCAGAGAGAGAGAAGAGGACAGCAAACGAGGGGCTGTGACAAACTGTATATATATATATATATATATATATATATATATATATATATATATATCGTCAAACAGAGCTGCGCGGTAAACCGTAGGCAGAGAGGGAGAAAGGGAAAACAAACGACGGGCTGTAACAGACTGCTTCATCGGAGTTCCGCCGACTCATCGTATATATCGTCACAAAGTTATCAGAGGATTCAGAGCGCAAAGCGAAAAAACAAAAGGGAACACCAAAAGAACATAAATTTTCGTTTTTTATCTTTTTCCTTACAACTCCCCCTGTTCAGAACCTCTTGCGTACAAGGCCGCCCACATGGATGTAGGTTGAGCGGCGGCTGCCCCCACCCCCGTGTGTCATATCGACCCACTTGCATACAGCCAAAAGGGCAAAAGGCAAAGAAAAGAGGAAGGGAACCTGTCTCTTATACACATCTAGATGTGTATAAGAGACAGGAGAGAGAGAGAGAGAGAGAGAGAGAGAGAGAGAGAGAGAGAGAGAGAGAGATGTGTCGTTAAACTGAACTGCCTGGTAAACCGTAGCCAGAGAGGGAGAAAGGGAAAACAAACGACGGGCTGTAACAGACTGCTTCATCGGAGTTCCGCCGACTCATCGTATATATCGTCACAAAGTTATCAGAGGATTCAGAGCGCAAAGCGAAAAAACAAAAGGGAACACCAAAAGAACATAAATTTTCGTTTTTTATCTTTTTCCTTACAACTCCCCCTGTTCAGAACCTCTTGCGTACAAGGCCGCCCACATGGATGTAGGTTGAGCGGCGGCTGCCCCCACCCCCGTGTGTCATATCGACCCACTTGCACACAGCCAAAGGGCAAAAAGGCAAAGAAAAGAGGAAGGGAACAGTCGAACACAACAAAACAGGCGGAAACAAATCCTAGATGACAAGTCCCACATCCATATATATATCGTCACAAAAAAATCACTATACAGGCCCTTGAACAAGGATTACACGAACCCCCCCCCCCCCCCCCCCCCCCCCCCCAAAAAAAAAAAAAAAGAGAAAAAAAAAAACAAAAAAAAAAACAAGGATTACTCGACCACCCCCCAAAAAACAAAGAGGGGAAACTACGCGGGAGTCACAAAAGTGAGTTATAATTGCACTATGGGCCAAGATACAGTTTCGGATTGCAGTTTGGGCGATGTATACAACCCGGCTTGCTGGCCAGGTAGGGTGCCCGAAGTGCAATTGCAAAACTGTATCTTGCCCCATAGTGCAGTTACAACTCGTTTTTGTGACTCTACTAAAGGTACCCCCAAGAAAATTAAAAAAAACAAAAACCTCACGAACCAGAAAAAAGGGAACGACTCAGAACAAGTATATTATTCATTTCCACTCGAATGGTGGGTGTCGGATTCTAAAGCATTATAAACAAAAACAAAAAAAAAGCCATTCAAGTTGAAGAGACCATAATAAATAACCGCTAGTCCGGAGAGTTTTTTTTTTTTTTTGTATGTCATGACAACAACTTTGCTGTAGACTTTGAAGAGTTAAAGAGGTTATCGAGCTGAGGTCTGTATTTCAACTCTTTTGTTTTTCACGTAGTCGGGACCGGAAGATCCAAGTTTGGACACAAATGATCAGCGAACGGCAGCTCTTTTTCTTTGTTTTTTTTTTGGGTTAATTTTAAAAATATTGCTGTTTCGAAGTTTGGCAGCAAAAATGTCGTCCGTTCGAAGTTTCCGTTGCAAAAATAGATGTTTCGTTGCAGCTTTATCGGGTTCCCGTAGTTAGCCAGCAAAAATACCGCGTTTCTCCAAGTTTCACAGCAAAGGACCCCTAGGCCTCTGGCCTCTGGGACTCAGGGACTCAGGGACTCAGCGTTCTGGCCTGAGGCACTCAACGTTTTTTTTTTTTTTTTTTTTTTTTTGGGCATAGCCGATGCATCGGGGCGTGCCCACGGTCGAGATGCCTCGGCCTCGGCCGCGAAAAAAAAAAGAAAAGAAACGTGGGCGAGCATCTCGGCGTGGCCGCGCCTCGGCCACACCCGCGGGAAAAAAAAAAGAAAAAAAAAAGAAAAACTGAGTGCCTGAGGCCGGAACGCTGAGTCCCTGAGTCCCTGAGGCCAGGGGCCTAGGGGTCCTTTGCTGTGAAACTTGGCTAAACGCGGTATTTTTGCTGGCAAACTACGGGAACCCGATAAAGCTGCAACGAAACATCTATTTTTGCAAGGAAACTTCGAACGGACGACATTTTTGCTGCCAAACTTCGAAACAGCAATATTTTTTGAAATTAACCCTTTTTTTTCTTCACCTTTGTTTTCCCTCTTTTGAAAAGGTCAATGGCGTGGAGATATCATCTCCAAACAAGCCAGGCTCGGGTAAATTCGGAGTTATTTTCTCATCTGAGTTCGTTGGGATTCGAACGTCGGTCTATCAACAGTTCATGGGTATACCAACTGAGCTAGGCCCGTTGGTGGGAGCCTCTCTTCTCTCTGCTTTCTCTGTTTTTTTTAGAACGGCAGCTTCGGTAATGGTCCATCGAAGGCTTAGGTGTAGCGGTAGGTAGGTATTGAAAGGTGAAATTGAGAGAAGGATATAGTTTGGTAGGTTCGAAGGAAAGAAAAAAAGGTTGACTGTCGGATTTGGTTCCTGTCCATCTGTCAACGCAGAATCAGCTGTTAGCCGTGGCGGCCATCATCGATAAAAGAAGCTGCCTGACACTTGTCATTGTCCTGAGCACAGCGATGTAGCCTACTCCTTTCATGTCTTCTTCTTCTTCTTCTTGGCCCCCCCCCCTTCTTCTTTTCCTCCTCCTCCTCCTCCTCCTCCTGCGCCGTCTCCTCTTCCTTCTTTTTCTCCCCCTCTGCTTCTTCTTTTCATCCTCTTCCTCCTCCTCCTCGTACATGTCTTCTTCTTCTTCTTCTTCCTCTTCTTTTTGTCACTACTTTCTTTGTCTTCTTCGTTCTTCTTCTTCTTCTTCTTCTTCTTCTTCTTTTTGTCACTAATTTCCTTGTCTTCTTCTTCTTCTTCTTCTTCTTCTTCTTCTTTTTGTCACTAATTTCCTTGTCTTCTTCTTCTTCGTCTTCTTCTTCTTCTTCCAGCCGCTACTGTACGAGTAGCCACGTGGAGCGGCGGGGGGTTAACCAGCCATTCCGATGATCCATACATCCATGTTTTTTTTCTTTGTCATGAAAACGGATATAAGATCGCGACTGAAGCTCAAATTTTTGAGAACTTCAAGTTGTCGCGACCATTCCTTTTCTCTTTTTTTTTCCCTCCTTGGGTGTGGTCCCATTAGCAGTAGGATAGGAATGTGGCCGATCCAGTGTGACACTGAGTGGCAGCCGCCTGACAGGTTCATTACGAATTTCTGGGGTGAGAAAACAGGAGAAAGGCAAAAAAAAAAGAAAAGAAACAGAGACCTCCCACCTGAAATCACGGCAGAGTGCTTCGCAGCCATCAGATCACAAATGATCTGATGGTGGTGGTTGCAACAACAGTGCAGATCCTGACGCCCTCCATATACTCCGTGATTGAAGGAGGGCTCCACCCAATGAGATAATTGCACAACAGCAAGCAAAATACTGAAAATCTTCTATCCAGTAGGCCTACGGCCGACCCCACTCTCTTTCGGGGTTGGCCATACCCCCAACGGATTGAAAAGATTTTGGTGGGAAGCTTCCTTTGCACCGGCATGCCCAGTGTTAAGGAGAGGAGGAGGGGAACCAAGATCTCCTTACTTTTTTGGGTAATACATGTAAAATACCGACCGTGGGATCACCAGGAATGCACGGCAGGATTTGGGTCACTCAACTGCCACACAAACTCTTTTCTATCCTATCCGGTTGCTAGTGGGACCATGCCCCTTGTATGCTTTATTCCAATGGGAACGAGACAACAAGTTTTTTTTTTTGCTTTTTTTTTATTAATTATTCCCCTTTTACTTTTTTCCTGCCTTGTCTCTCCTCCTTCGTCTGCCCACCCTTCTGGTTTTCTCCGTCAAGTTCCTAAAATCAAATCAAGAAGAGGA